AAGCAGGAAAGAAATGTTGAGCTGCCACACCAGAGTGTTTTGGTTTTTGTTATTCAATCCCATCTTGATCAAAACATTTTGTACTCCCTTTCTCTAACTGTATCGCTATGAAAATACTTGTAAATGCTAAAAACTATAGCTTCTATTTTGATGGAAAAACCATCATAACTTGTTTGGATGTGATTCTAAATTATGTGTGCCACAGTTGACTTCAAATATAAGTCTGTGCCATAGGTTTCATAATTCAATAAGAACATCCTTTTCCTTTATTCATGATTTCGTGCTTCAGTAAAACTTATATTTATCTTACCAGCACATAAACAAGGAGTGTTGTCTTCAAGCTTGACGTTTTATGTGGAATTTACAGCGGCATTCACAATAATGTCAGCTATTTCATCTTTGTCAGAATGAACTCTCAACAGCTTTGCTTTGAAGAATTGGACCAAAAAAAAAATCAAATTATTGGAGTAGATTTTCTGTTTGAAGTTTTTAATGACACTGACATAAAACCATTGTCATTTCACTGTATGAAATTGTAACTTTCTGTTGGAGACAAGACATTACCAAGTATTGTTTTACTTTCTCTCTGTGCACAAAACACTGGAATTAAAGAAATGAGCTAAATTACTTTTGATGAGTTTGAATAGTCGTGCTTTGTGGAGTGAAATGTAAACACACCTGCTATTTTAAATTGTCATCAGGCACAGTCTTTGAAAGCAAGGGGTAATGTGTCTTCAGATGATTTGTATCTTCTGCTGTTCAAATCCTCATGGACACTACTAAGACATCTGCTGTGGATGATAAATGGCGACAAACATTTTGGGCAAAATATATGTTCATCATTAACTGTCTTGAGTAATATGCACTTCTGTTTTTTGCTGCCAAAAGTGCTCACTGCAAAATATGAAAATGATACCAAACAATCATATATATTGTCTGACTTTTGCCTTGTAAAAAAATGGACCAAACTACTGTAGCAAAAGCTTTTGGACTACTCTCTAATACACTATAGCTGGACATCATTTGCACCTAGGAGTCAGCCCAGTGGGCAACGTGTTGGCGTCACGTGCTGAGTCATGGACCACAGTATAACTGGCTGGTACACCAGTGGCTGCCAGGGGCAGCAGATTTGAATATTTCTGTCATCACCACCCTAGACCTAAGAAATGAGCTGTCTCTAGATCCTATGTCTGGGTGATTTCTTTCTTTCTTTTTTTTTTTTTTTTAATTTTTAAGCAGGGGGCACCTTGCTTGCTGTCCTTGGACAACAGATTTCATTCTGGAAAGAATCAAATAGAGAGATGAGATTTGGCTGATTAGTCTTTCAGATTTAAATACATGTCGACAAGAGAGCCCTGCTCACTGTGTCCATGTCCCCTGCACTATTAGACTGACCATGGTAGCAGGTAGAAGTACAAAAATGGAAGTCTACCCAGCTGTTAATTAAAAGGTGAAAGGTCTGGGACAAATGCTGCACTGACCAGGACGCCAGGACAGCAGGTGCCAGTAAAGGCCGTCCTGGGAAAACCGTTCAGTTGTTAACGTGCTTTTCTTTCCTCCCCTCCTTCCCTGCTCCCTTCCTCTCTCCCTACCTCCTTCCTTCCTTCACCTTGCTTCTCTTTCTTTCCTCCCTTTCTCTTTTTCTTCCTGAAGCATTAAAGCCTTTCTTTCCTTCCAGATAACTGATGCTAAATACAGGTTTCTGTTTCATGCCAGCAGCACTTTACTGAGGTATAATATAAATGCAGTAACTGACATGACTGAACAGGGCTTCCCTGGGGGCTCAGACGGTAAAGAATCCGCCTGCAATGCGGGAGACCTTGGTTCCATCCCTGGGTAGGGAAGATCCTCTGGAGAAGGGCACGGCAACCCACTCCAGTGTTCTTGCCTGGAGAATCCCCACGGGCAGAGGAGCTCGGAGGGCTGCAGTCCATGGGGTCGAAAGAGTCGGACACGACTGAGCAGTGAAGCACAGCACATACAGCGACTGAACGACAACAAAATTCGCTAACTGTTGCGATTTAAGTGCGCAGATTAGTGGATTTTGATAGCATACATGTACACACATAATCATCACACAGATCGAGGTATAGAAGATTTCCATAGCCCAGGGAATCCTTCCTGTTCCTTTCCAGACCATCCTTCTTCCCTCATCCTCCAGAGGCCACCACTATCTGTTTTCTATTACCACGGGTTAGTCTGTCTACCTGAACTTCATAGAAAGGAAATCTTTATGTCTGGCTTCTTTCATTCATCATAACTTTCTTTTTTGAGATTTGGCCATGTTGTTGTATGTATCAATGGTTCATTTCTTTAAAAAATGCTGAGTATGAATAGACTGCAATTCATTTATCCATCCTTCTGTCTTTACACATTTGCGTTGTTTTCAGTGTTGAGTTTCTATGAATAAAGTTGCAGTGGACGTTGCTGTCACAGTTGTTTTGGGTGAACATAGGCATTTGTTCTCATGAGTGCATACCAAAGAGAAGGAATTACTGGGACATAGGGTAGCTGCATCTTTAGCTTTGTAAGAAACTGGAAAACGATTCTCAAAACTCCTATAATCTTATACTGATCATACCAAGAGTCAGAAAGCACATGGAGAAATTGGAGTTCTCACTGCAGGAGTTCCCACATTGCAGGTGGGAATGTCTTGGCAGTTGTTTAAAACACATCCAATTCCTTCAACAAAGTAGGATAATTCAGATTTTATTATTATTTTAGTTTGTAAAGCTTCTGTTTATTAGGGAATTTGTCTATTTTCTCTGTTATCAAGTTTATTGGCATAATGTTGGTTATACTATCTCTTTATTCTATTTTATGATATCTATAGGATCTGTAGTAATGCCCTTTTAAAATTTAAAATTTAAAAAATCTTGGTACTTGGGAGTTCTATTAATCTTTTCAAGGAAGCAAAGTTTGAGTTTTTGTTGAGTTTTTAATAATCTATTTTTATTAACAGCTTTGTTGAGGTGTAATTGACATTCATCTATTTTTTACATCATTGATCTTTTTCTCATCTTTACTACTTCTTTCATTCTATTTTCTTGGGGTTTAATTTGATCTTCCTTTTCTAGCTTCTTGAAGTGGAAGCTTAGATAATCGATTCAAGACATTTCCCCCTTAGTGTCGTCATTTAGAACTCTAAGCACTGCTTTAATATCATCCCCATCCCAAATTTTCATATTTATTTCATTAGTGCTCAGTTTAAAATATTTGCTTATTCCCGTTTTAACTTATTTTTCCTGCATAGCTTATTTAAGAGTGTATTCTTTAATTTCTTTTAGTCACAAATTACTAACATTGTTGGGCTTCCCTTGTAGCTCAGTTGGTAAAGAATCCTCCTGCAATGCAGGGGGCCTGGGTTTGATTCCTGGATTGGGAAGATCCCCTGGAGAAGGAAATGGCAAACCACTCCAGTATTCTGGCCTGGAGAACCCCATGGACGGAGGAGCCTGGTGGGCTACAGTCTATGGGACCACAGGTGTTGGACGTGACTTAGCGACTACACCACCACCACCACTAGCGTTATTCATTTAATTCATGTGGAAAGAGAACTTGTTTGTCTTTGTTTCATTTTTTTGTGATTTATTGAGACCTGACCAGCATATAATCCATTTTGGTGGATGTTCCACATAAACCTGAATTTGGATTCTTCTGGCTTTGGGGGTGTAGCGTTCCATGTATATCAATTAGATCAGTTTAGATAGTGGGATTCAACTATCTGCCCTTACTGACTTTGACCTACTTTTTCTACACATTACTGAAGAGAAGGGTTAGCGTGTCCACCTATGCATTTCCCTCATGTGTTCTGAAGCTGTGTTGTTGGGTATGTAAAGATGTATGATCGCTGTGTCCTTCTGAAAAATTCATGCTTCCCTTTATCTATGGTTGTGTTCTTTTCCTTAAAGTCTCTTGTTCAATAATCACGTAGCCAGCCTAGCTTCTTTATCTTAGTGCTTCCATGGAATATAATTTTTCATTCTCTTGCCTTTAACCAATCTATGCCTTATCTTTAAACAGTGTCCCCTACAAAGAGCATATGGCACAAATGCCTATGGCTGATACATATTGGTGTATGGTAAAACCATCACAGTTTTGTAAAGTAATTATCCTCCAGTTAAAATAAATAAATAAATTTAAACAATAGAAAAAAAAACAAACAGCAAGTTATCCATATCATAAAAAAAATCCCTTATTCTCCCATTAGCATGATTCTAGCTACAATCCTTCATAAAGAGTAAAAGTCACTATTAATGAGCATAGAGACAAAGGATAAAGAAAGAGTAACTACAATATTGTAATTAGCCTCCAACTAATAAAAATAAATGGTAAAAAAAATTAAAAAAAATACATGTCTTTATAATATAAAAAATAAAAGAAGGGGTAACTGGAAAACTCAAGCATGTTTACTTTGGGGGATGGGAGGTTGGATGTGGTGATTGGTTTACTAGGATTATGTGATCTTTTAGCTCTGTGATATCAGAGAGTAGCCCTGGGACTCTGAGAATTTGGGGGGTAGACTAAAGAGAAAGAGGGAAAGAAAAAGGAGGCAGAGGGAACCAGCCAAACAAATTTCACCAAGCTTGCAGCTTTCCTTACAGAGCTGTAGTTCTTGCCCACTTCTGAGGTGCCAGTGAAAGCATTCCTTCTTTAGGGTGAGCTTCATATGGCATTGATGCTACTGATGCTTATCTCTCTGGGGAGAATGTGGGTGAGGATGAAGGACCTTATTGAAGCTACATCCATTAGGAACTGAATTTTACAAATGACTTCTCTGATTGCGCCTTTTATGTCTTTGTTCCTCAGACTGTAGGTCAAAGTGTTGAGCATAGGGATGACCACAGTGTAAAAGACACAGTCTTGCTCTCCTCTTGGGATTTTGTCTGAGTTACTTCTCTGGCACATGAAGGCAAGTGTCCCAAGGAAGAGAACAAAAGCAGTGAGATAGGAGGTGCAGGTGGAGAAGGTCTTGGCTTTCCCACCAGTAGACTTCACTCTCAGAATCTGAGAGTTCTGATGATGAGCGTGTAGGAGACCAGGATGATCGTGCCATTGGCCAGGAACATGTGTTTGGCAGGAAAGAGGATGACAGTCTCACTCTGTGTCATGCTGTGGGAGGCAAGCTTTAGCAGGGGTGGGAGATGGCAGAAGAAGTTGATTTGATTGTCATCACAGAAGGAGAGGGTAAATGCACACACAGTATGCAGGATGGCCCCTGATAACCCACAGACGTAGGCCCCGGCCAACAAGCCCAAACGGATGTCTGGAGACATCACCACATTATAGCTCAGTGGACTGCTAATGGCAACAAAGCGGTCATAGGCCATCACAGCGAGCAGGAAGAGTGAACTGACGGTGAAGACGATGGTGGATTTGGTGAACTGATGGTGAAGATGGTGAAGAAAAAGAACTTGGGTGCACATTGGCCATAGGAGATGACCATTTTGCTTGTGGTCAGTGTGGCCAGGACCGGAGGGGTGATGACCACAGTGTAGCAGGCATCTAGCAGGGAAAGAAGGCCCAGGAAGAAGTCCATGGGGTGTGGAGTTGGGTGTCCCCTGGGGTTAGAACAAGCATCTCCACATTTCCCAGAAGGGCGACTAGATAGAAATTGGGAAACATCAGGAAGTGCGGAATGATCAGTTCAGGGAGATCTGTGAAACCCATAAGAATGAACTCTGTCACAATGGTGAGATTTCTTTGGCCACAGGTTCCATGCAGCTGGGTGGCCTCAGAAGGAGAATGGAATTAGAGATTCCAGACCTGCAGGCCTTTGTCTTCCTTAGTGTCAGATGTTAGATGAAAATCTCATATTTTTCTGCTCAGAGAGAGAAAAAAAATGTTATGATTTAAAGAATCTGCAGGCACTGCCCTGGTGGTCCAGTGGCTAAGACTCCGAGCTTCCAGTGCAGGGGGCCTGGGCTCGATCCCTGGCCCGGAAACTAGATCTCACATGCTGCAACTAAAAATTCCGCATGCCACAAAAGATTGAAGATTCTATGTTCTATAGCAAAGACCTGGTGCACCAAGTGAAGAAATAAATAACAATAAATAATAACAATAAAAGAATCTATAGCTGGCAGGTACTATGGAGAGTGTTCACCTATCTGTGTATCCTTCTGGAAAATGGACTCAGGGTAGGTATTTCTTCAGGTTCACTTGCTTGTTGTCTAAGGTCTAAGACCAGAGAAAATCTTAGACTATCAAGACTGGAAGGGACCAATCTGGAGTCTCTCTTTCCTAGAATATCCCCAACAGATGGTCACACAGCCCAGATGTACACGAGGGCTGCCTTGTATGGATTCCAAAGTTGGGCCCTGCCAACTCCCAGTAGGACGTAGACTGTGATGTGAATGCTGCCTCCAGAGTTGGTGGTTGGACGTGGCGCCCTCGGTGGTTGGACGCAGAGTCCTCTGTTACCTGATGGGGACTTTCTGGGCACTCTACCTTTGGAAAGTTCTTCCTGTCGGGAAAGCCACATTGCCCTTTCTGTATCTTCTACACATTAGTATTGGGTTTCCCAGTTGGCACAGTGGGATGACCTGCCAGTGCAGGAGATGCAGGAGAGGCAGCTTTGATCCCTGGTCGGGAAGATCCCCGGTCGGGAAGATCCCCTGGAGGAGGACATGGCAACCCACTCCAGTGTTCTTGCCTGGGAAACCCCATGGACAGAGGAGCCTGGCCGGCTGCAGTCCACAGGGCTGCAAAGGGTCGGACACGACTGAGCGACCGAGTTTAAGGTTAAGTCTTCCACATTAGTATTACGCTTGATTCTGCACGTTGAGCAAGACCCCTCTCTCCCAAGACAGAAAGCGATCATGCCCACTCTTATCACGTCTCTTATTCTTCAAGTCAAGCATTTCCAGTCATTTTAGCAATGCCTAGTGAGCCCTTTCATAATCTATTTTTGTTCTGCTATGAACATCGTTATCATCTGTCTGCTGGGATCTCTTTTTGGAGGGTCCTTGAGAGAAAGCAATTCTGTGAAAATCGTTAGATTTATGAGGCTCTTATTCTGTGTCGGATGTTTCCACATTAATTGACTGATTTCTCTCAATAATCCTGAAATAGCCGTTATGAATTTTCACTCTTGAACTGTGTAAGCCGAGGGTCAGGAAGTTACAGTGGCTTGTCAAAGGATAAATTGCAAGTGCAGAAGCCAGAACTTAAGCTGTGGTGTCAAGACTCCAGGGCTCTGCTTGTTTCATTACCCTACTCTGGTCCTTAACCACCATCCGTCTCCTTGAATTTTTAGCTTCTGGAGCCTAGAGGCACCTCATAGGAAGGGGGTTAAGAGAAATCAGGGTTGCTTCTTCACTTTCTAGGGGTGGAATGGGTTCTTTGATAGCTACTCATTGTTCCAGGCGCTGCCCTCTGGAATGAAGCCTCTAGGGGGTGGGGGTGGAGGCTTCTCCCTCAGGGATTCTGGGACTCACTGGGAAGCTGGTTGGAGTCAGGATTAAAGACTTGTTTGTGAGCTAGAGGTTCTCACCAGCCAAAGAACTTCCATAAAACATTTTGGGCTGCCTGTCAGTTTCAATCCTGAGGATTTCAAGGCTCATAAGGCAAAATCAAATCCCTAGTATTTCAGATGCGGAGTACCGGGCCCACCAAGTTTCTGATGATTACCATATTAGATCTGCTGATTAGCCGCAGCTTGAGTGCCGACCACCCTGGCTCACCCCATCGCTCTCGTCTTCTTTGACCACAAGTGCCTTTCCTCCAGAGCACTGCGAGTCCTGTGATTTTTCTGTGCTCCTACCTTTTGTTTCTTTCTGTCTCTCTGTGAAACGCTTCCCATCATTTTTCTCTTTTTTGCTGTCTCATAACTTACACATGGTGTGGCTATTCACCACATGGAGGTCCATCATCTTATTGAAAAACTGAAAGAAAATTTTCAGGGCTTTATGTTATAGTTCAAATACATTAAAAAGAGGATTTGATGTATCCAGCTGCCTTTTTGGGAGGCAGTCCAAAAGTTAAAGAGTTGAACTATATGGCCAGGCCTACATGTTAATTGTTGTGTCTGAAGGATCAGTTATGTGGTACAAAACAGAGCTCCACTCCTTCACCTGGATTGTGGAAGATGCTGGCATTGTGATAGCTTTTTGAGACCCAAGTCTTGAATACTCAGCTTGGAACTTACTAGTAGAGACAAACTGAGTTTGTACTCACATCTATTATTCTGTTCCAAGACTCTGTAAATCCTTCTTTCAAAGCAGCATTCTTTATCTTTATTTAGCCACATACTCTTTTTTTCCTTCTTTCCATAGAGATGAAAATTTAAAGACATGGAAGCATGCTTTAGAACACGCTTAACTAAATGTCCGCCAACTCTTTTTGCTACGCTTGTCTCTGAATCTTAAGATTAGAAATGTACGTTTCTTTGAAGCATTTGAAAGATTACTTTGAAAATTTCAGTATTTGGACTAAATAGCTAGTAAATTCAGATTTCTAAACAATCACATGCTTTGTAGACATAGCAATATCCCACTGCTTAGTTGGATTTGGATTGGCTAATCCACCATCTATTTTCCAGAGTGGGCATAATCTTTTGGCTTCCAGGTGGCTCAGTGGTAAAGTATCTGCCTGCAATGCAGGAGATGCAAGAGGCAAGGGTTCGATCCCTGGTGGGGAGGGGGGTAAGATCCCCTGGAGGAGGAAATGGCAACCTGCTCCAGTATTCTTGCCTGGAAAATCCTATGGAGAGAGGAGCCTGGAGGGCTGCAGTGCATGGTCTTGCAAAGAGCCAGCCAACCAGTGAACATGCAGGCAGCACAACCTTTCAGTCCAGCCCTTGGACATGCCCCACAGCATTTGCATAACTTAGTTAACACAGCCTGAGAATAGGCACCTTCATTGGTGCCTTCAATAGGCCCTCATTGACCTAAAAAGAAATGTTCATCTGGCAACTTTCTTTCGGATGGTGGTAGCTAAAACGTGCATCTGTTCAAGACACTGTCTCCATGGGGAAACCTGACAGAGAACTTCCCTTGAAGCTTAGTTATCAGCAGTTGTCTGCTGGATTCTGGGTCCACGTCTGCCCGATGTCTGATATTTGAAGGTGACCTCGTGTTAGCAGGGCGTCTGGGTGAGTGGTTTGTCTTTCTCCCCAGGGGCTGGGGGCCTCTGTGTCCATGGCCGTCAGGATGGGCGCACATGCTCTTCTCCAGCAGTTGGTGGGAGTGACCGCGGCCCTTGCCAGGGCTCCTCGACTTCACAAGCACACGGACCCCTGGAGCCAGGAAGGACCTTGGCACGCAGTTCTGTGAGTTTCCCCCGCTGCTCCTCAGAGGCCTCGGCCTGTGGAGATGCCTCGAGGGACACAGCAGGGGACGTAAGCAGGAGGCTGAGCGCGGACGGTTCAAACAACGCGGCGTTTCTTGTCACGCTTGTGAACAGACAGGCACTTTTCCATCTTGTTTGGAGAGGGGGTTCTGACCTTAAAGAAAGCTGGCCGTCTGCTCCACTACGTTCTTTTCGTTTGGCAGAAGAGAACACTGAAGCTCAGAGAAGTAACTGTCACCCAGCGTGTCAGAAGACATTCCTCCCGCACCGCTGTCGTGGGGCGTCTCATGTGGGGCCCAGGACAGCCCGTGGGGTCGTGAGAGGGCAACCCGGAGCTAACAGGCCCGGGATGGGGCCCCCGGGCTGGGGGGATTGCGACAGCGTGGTTGGGAGCCTCGGCGGCCAGGTCCCCGAGGTTTCCGAGCGGCCACCTCCCTCTCTGTGACGTCCATCTCCACGTCACCTTCTTTGTTAATGGGGGTTTTTGCCGCACATCAGTGGGAAGCAGCCACAGGCATGCGCGTCCCCCTCGTGAACCCGCCTGCCCCCGGCTCCCCATCCGCCCCTCCAGCTTGTCTCGGCGCTGGCTCTGGGCCCCCTGTGTCAGAGAGCAGGCCCGCTGGCTGACGGTTTGACAAGTGGCGATGGATGCGTGTCAGTGCTGTTCTCTCAAGTCCCCCACCCTCGCCTTCCCCCACTGAGTCCGAAAGCCCGTGCTTTATGTCTGCGTCTCCTTTGCCGCCTGACACTTGGGGTCATCGGTACCGTCCTTCGAGATTCCATATGTATGTGTTAATACGCAGTATTTGTCGTTCTCTTTCTGCCGACTTCACTCTGCATCAGGCTCTAGGTTCATCCACCCCGTTAGAACTGACTCAGATGTGCTCCTTTTCATGGCCGAGTAATATTCCGTTATACATGTACCACAAAGTCCTTATCCATTTGCCTGCCGATGGACATCTAGGTCGCTTCCCTGTCCTAGCTATTATAAATAGTGCTGCAGTGAACACGGGTACACGTGTCTTTTTCAGTTTTGTTTGCTCTGGGTGTTTGCCCAGCAGTGGGATTTCTGGGTGGTGTGGTAGTTTTATTCCTAATTTTTTAAGGGAGTCTCCACACTGTTATCCATACTGGTTGTATCACTTTGCATTCCCACCAACCGTGTAAGAGGGTTCCTTTTTCTCTACACTCTTTCCAGCATTTATTGTTTGTAGGCTATTCGATTTTGGTCAGCTGTTCTGACCAGTTCTACATTATCTTTTCAAAAGCTTCTTCTGAAAGAAGGTCTTTCTGACCTCACCACCTGAGACAACCTCCTCAGAGGGATGGAACCCAGCCTTGGTACCTGCTCTGAATACCTAGTTATTCAATCATGTGGGTGTTAGGAGAGTAATAGTATCTATGCCAATTATTGTTCCCTGCACTTGAGATACTTAGTGCTAACTTCTGCAGTTATCAGTAAGGTATGTATTCCTGCGTCTGCTTCACAGGAGATAGAATTAAAGCCTTGGCAAGATAACCTGTCTGAGAGGTCACAGGAAAATTTTAATTGTTTTCAAACATTTGGAAAACACACTTAATAGTCTCTGGAATATTTCTGATCTCCCAACATAGTTACAGGATTTACCCTACCTCATGGGGAAAGAGCCGGTCCTTTTGCTTCTGTGAGGAAATTCTATGAAGCACTGCTGATATTTCCTGTGTTCTGAGCAGATCCAAAAAGACTGCTGCTGTGGTGATCTGAAAGTTATAGAAAATGCAATTACCTAATCTTCCTCAGGCTGATATTACATTTTGCTGAAACCCGCTTTTGAACACACTCCCAGCAGGTAGCAAGACCAGGCTGTAAGCCCAGTTTTATCCAGAGTGCCTGGGCAGCTTTCAAAGCCTGCAACCCCCAGGTCCTCCCGGCGTCTAACTGTTTTGCCTTCTTGCTCAAACAACCCAATTCAGACCGTCTTGTTTCTGAATCATTGAGTTTTTGGATCCTATTGAATCCTTTGGTGGTTTTAACACCTATAGGCATCACTTGTGTGTGTGTCTGTGTGTGTGTGTGTGTGTGTGTGTGTGAGTCACTTTAGTCATGTCTGACTCTTTGAAACCCCATGGACTATAGATCGCCAGCCTCCTCTGTCCATGGGATTCTCCGGGCAAGAATACTGGAGCGGGTGGGAGGAAGCAGGGCTTGTTGGGATGGTCTGCATCACTTCTTCAGCGTTCTATTGGCTAAGCTGCGTGTCCATACTTTGCCGCAAAGGAGGCTGGCTAAGAGTCTAGTTGTTTTACCAGTCCTAGCTAGATAACATGAATCATTTGGGGTCAGAGGGCACGATGAAGTAGGCGGCCCCCAAGATGGCCCTAGTGATTCCTGCCATCCGGTAAGCACGTCTTTGAGTGATTTACTCTTTTGAGAATAGCCTGGATTTAGTGACTCACCCTTAGTAAATAAAGTGTGATGGGGTGTTACTTTCGAGATTAAGTTTCAAAAAAACGCTGGTGCCTGTATCGGGTATTCTTTCTGAGAATACTATTCTATTCTCTATTAGAATACTATTCTAATACTCTGCTATTCTCTCTGAGAAAAGTCAGCTGTCGTGTTGTGAGTTGCCCCATGGGAAGGTCCATGTTGCAAGGAGCTGACATATTTGGCGACCAGTGGGGAAGGATCCGAGTCTTGCCAACAGCCATGCCTTAACATGCAGCCCCGGCCAGCGAGATAATCACTGCTTTGTGAGAGACCCTGAGGGAGGTTCCCAAGCCACTGGTGCTGGATTCCTGACCCCATGAAAACAGTGACAGGAAATGTTTGCAGCTTTAAGCTGCCAAGTTAACAATAATAGACAACTAACACATCCTCATGCAGAGATGCTACTGATGGCAGACAGAGCTTCAATACTCTGCTTAATTCTTGTGGTTCTTTTTTTTGCCTTGTATGTTTAGCCCTTGATTTCTTAGTATTTTTTCACTTGTTTATTTTATCTTTTTAGGTGCTTTTGTTTTATCTCTTTACACGTTTTAAGGCCAGTTTGGTCAGAAAATCCTAGTCCACCATCTTGCCAGAAATGGAAATCCTATTCATTTAAATCTTTCTGCTTTTCAACAAGTCTTTGTTGAGCACCTACTGTGATTCAGAAAGCACACTAAAAATAATGGATAGTTCTTGCTTCCATGGAACTTACATTCTACCGGAGGCGGGGTAGAAAACAAACAGGCAAATAGATACCAGGCCTTGTCGTGTCCTTAAGAGTGAAACAGCAGGGTCGGGGGATAGAGTGTGACATGCAGCAGGGAAGCTCTTGTTCTAATATCGTGGTCCAGAAGGGTTTCTCTTAGATGAGGCAACATTTCAGCAGAGACCTGAGTGAAGTAAATGAATAGGTCTTGTAGAATGATAATGAGAATGCTTGTGCAGACCCGTTCTTCTTGGAGGTCTGCAGGAGATGTTGGGAAGGAAGCATTCTCTCATTCCTTTTATTCCAGCGGAATTGAATGTAG